TATATGACCCCTATGTAATTTGGGCATGCAGGCTGCACAGAAAATTTGAGGGATTGCTAAACTCAATGGAATTTCCCTCAACTCTCTACTGGGGCTCTTTATACAATCCCCGTGCCTTGCTGGTATCCCTATAAGCCCTACGAAAGTTTGGCGACGGAATGCAGTAGTGTATAATTATTTTTGTTTGCCCTTCATATTTGCCTTTAATTTGAAAAAATGGTGGTAGTGAGCGCGTGCATTACCAGCAGAGTCCGACCCCTCCTGGCGAGGCAGTTCGTGGACATCCGCAGAGCCAAGCTGGAGGGCCTCCTTAACGCCTTCGTGAAACTCGTTGATTACTCGGGTATGTCATGACTGAATCACTGCGCCTCAACTACGTATAGTGCCGCACGAGGGAAAGATAGGACAGAGGGTTACGTACGCGCAAATGCGGTTTACTGCCAAGAAAGGCTTGATGCTCAGAAAAGAAGTGCAAGCTTCGCTACTTGCACGTTGCGGAGGACAGTGGAGGCGGTTTATCTGTACATCCGTCGTGCATTGGTTTTCTCTTGTCTCGTAATCATGCTGATGAACCCAATAAGCCTTAGACGGGACATTGCGCTTGATTGCAGCTGAAGAAGCTCAGTATTTCCCACAATTTTTGTGCGAATTTAGGCTCTGATCACACCTACCTTGAGACAGAGTCGGTCCGGTATGTGTATCAGCCGGTGGAAAACCTGTACCTGGTTCTAATAACTACGAAGGGAAGCAACATTTTCGAAGATTTGGGCACGCTCAGGATGTTTGTCAGCATAGTCCAGGTAAGTCATACTGATGACGTTTTGCCTACACTGCTCACCTTAATCGGTGGCTGAAGTACCCGTTCCTTTAGTCGCCGTACAGCAAGTTGGATTTTGCAAGAGTGGCTGCCTTTGAAGAACCCAGCATCTCAGACGACGTGCATTCCCACTTGTTCCGTTTTTGGTTTTGTATAGCCTTGCACCTCACTGTACGGCGTAAATCGTGCGCCTGCGTACTGGGCTTTTGATGTTGTACTCACTTTGCTTGCTTTATCCCACATGTGTTGTTTCAGAATGTTATGTATCTACATTTGTGCGGGTGGTATGGGTCACCGCTGCAGGACACCTGCGGAGAGAGCCACGGAAATGGCAGTCTAGAGGATAGCGTAGCGACGCATGCATTCGACATCGTATTTATGCTGGATGAGCTCATCAGTGGTGGCTATAGGGAAGCGCTGACACTGCAGCAGATTCAGTCTTATGTTGCCATGGACTCTCACGAAGAAAAGCTGCAGAAGATGATTGCTGAGGTAATCTGCGACAGAAGCATTAGCAGCAGCATAAACATCTCTAGTGGAGTACCTCAAACCCTAAACGTAAGGCACTCGTAGCCGAACGTAACTCAATTTTGCCTGTGGAGCCCTCAGCATGGCTTCTCCTGTGATGGAACCCGTGAGATCCCGGTGTATGAATCTAAATAAGTGTACATGAGGCCATTCGATCGCGAAACAGCCGACCAGTCTTGCGTATATCTATGTAAATCTGACCGGTGCGGTGCTGTCGAGAGGAGGGATGCAAAAAGGGCATTGTCTTGCCGCCGTCCAGCATGAATTCGTTGATTCCGCAGGGTAAGGAGAAGGAACAGGCAGATAGGAGGCGCGAAATCGCTCAAAGACTTGAAAAAGAAAGACAACTAGCAAAGAAGGCGGGGAAGGGGTTGGATGTTGCCGCATTCCGGGGTGCTACAGTGGCGTCCGAGCTGTCTCGTGGGCCTCCATCAGTGCCTCCCACTCATGGGGCCCCTGCTAGTGGCACGTACTGGGGAGCATCAACCCCAAGTGGAGGTTTATATGATGCTCATCAGCAACCGTCTCCAGCAGGAACACCTGGCGCTCCAAGAGGTGGCCAACAGTCAAAGGGGATGCAGTTGGGTGTTAGAAAACCCTATGGTGGAGATGATGGGGCACTGCAAAACCTCGTCCCGGATGAACAAATAAAACAGCCAGTTGAACTTGCTGAGGCTCAGCATGATCAAGGTAACATGTTAGCATTGACTGCTTCTGCATTATGAAGCTATAGACGGTTGTAATGAGCATGTTGGAATAGCTTCCTTGCCGGAAGAAGAATATGGACCAACAGCTGCCCAGATTGAATACGCGGACACGTAGAATCTCCTGTGTTTCCTGTCAATCGTCCTTTTAATGATTATAGCTTTTTTTCGCTTTGTGAAATGGGTGCCTGCAAGCAGTTTTAAACAATCCACTAGCGGACCCCGTTAGCATTCTTATTGAGGAGAGGGTCAAGGCTTCCATGCAAGCCGAAGGAGGTGCGTACATATTATATAACCTCATTTCCAGTAGTGCACTTGTTACTCTCTCGCTCGTTTTTTAAGCAACTGCTGGAACATTTCCGTATTTTGCAGTCCTCAAGGAAGTGGAGCTTCAAGGGACCTTTTTTGTTACTGCGAACGACCCACAACGAGGTTCTCTTGCCGCAATTCAGGTAAAGGGGCACTGCATAACGAGCTCGGAGTGCCTTTCATTCGGTGCTTGGAGGGAGCGGAGTAGACGTCGACGGCGCATAAAGAGATATGTGCTGTATCATGAAAAAAAGACACCAGTAGATTTTGTGCAGATATGGTATCTGTTTTTGTCGTGCCCGGTTGTACTCGCAGCTAACACCAGAAGACAGGCGATTTAAGATGAAGAGCCACCCAAATGTCGACAAGGCGGCGCTTGCTCAAAGCAATCTGCTGCAAGTTCGAGATCCATCCAGGCCGCTACCCCCGCATCAACCTGCGCCACTTCTCAAGTGGAGGATCAATGAAAAGGATGAGGTACGAGGATGCATTCAGCATCAGTGTCAGTGGGAGATTTGATAACTTTGGATGGCGTATTATTTTTCCCTTTCTTTTCACCTTGTATGACTTCTCGCAGACTTTGGTGCCTTTGACAGTAAGCTGCTGGCCGTCAACGACGCCAGCAGGTACGGTGCTTACTGTCGAACTGGAGGTAACAGACACTTCGAAACGCCTGGAGGATATCCGCGTGTCCTTTATGTGCCCTGCCCAGGCAAATCCTCAGGTGCGCTGTCCCCCCAAAGCCACTTTGCATGTACTGCATAGATATTGACGTCTGTGAAAACGAATAGGCTGTCTGGATGTTGTTGCTGGTAGTGAAAATGCACAATGTTTTTAAGCGTTTACATCCATTCATGTGCTTGCGAGGCTGTCTTGAATGGTGAGCAGGTTCTGAGGACAGATGCTGGGACCACCGAACATGATGGAGTTTCTGTACACTGGTTCCTCCCCGAAATGGGGGAACAGCTCTCTGCGGCCACCATCGAAATCACAGCAAACACTAGTTTGACTACGCTTATGCCGTTCTCAGTGGAAATGCACAGTGGCGAAAGCATTTGCAGCGTAGAGGTGAGCGGCAGGCGATAGTGGCCCTTGAGTGCAAAGCCTGATTCACCACTCACAAGGTATGGCCGACAGAAGGGTAAGACTGACCTGTCGGTTTTCTGGTGGTGCAGGTGGTACAGTGCAAGCACATGGAGACCAAAGCGGATATCCCCTTTAGCTTGACGCGCAGGGTGGAATACCTCCTTACTGTACACCCTTAAGAGCCTGCTTCAGCTGCTCCACAGTTGCACTCATGATGAGCAGGACGAGTAACAACTGCGTAGAACAGCTTGGCGTAGGAGACGCAACATTTTCGTGTCCCCAAGATGCGCGTTGCATTGGTGTGATTCACGATGTACTCGTCATCGTGGTTACTTTTTAATGAATGGAAGCTCCACAAGTATGCGCCGCAGGCGCGACGGTAAGCGTGGAGTTGGCAGTGTTGGCGCTCAGGGCGTCATCTGCCCTGCCTTTCTTGTACAGCAACAGAACATGAGAACAGCGAGAGGGCAGAAGCAAGACGCCAGGAAGATTCTTTATCACTGTGTACCATTGCGTAGCGTAGGCAAGTCCCCGGAAGTCCGGGCAAGTGACTCTTAGAGCATACTCAGAAAACAGCTGACACACTGAGCATTTTTTTTATTCCGCATATTGCTATATATTCCGCGGATACATTGTATACTTTGGAGTAGTCGTGAGCTACGTGCTTGGTAATACTGCAGTGGGTTCGGTGGATAGAACTGTTCGTTCTGTACCGGGGCTTCTCACATGGATCGCTTGCGCAGAGGCACTGTTGTAGAACAACTCGACAGGAAGACGCTTCGTGCGACCTGAGTGTCTTCCTATTGTACAAACATTTATGGGAAGCCACGTGAGATGTGTTTCTGTGAGCTGGCCAAAGCAAGACCGTTTAGTAGATATTTGTGCTATGCCTGCTTGAAGAATGTGGTCGTCCGGTCGTCCGTTTCGCCTGGCTCACTGCCGAAGATTTCCAACTTTTAAACGTTTTCAGTCACTGTTTTAGGTAGTAGGGAGGTTGATGACGCGCCGAGGATTTGTTTCGGGGTCAGCAACAGTTGCAAAAGGACCTCAAGAATATTACTTCTGAGTGAGGAATCTACGGACCGAACACGGAGAAGCCCACTTGGCTGACGCCCCGCGTACGCAGCCGAGTGTATCTGCTGTTCGGTGCCAACGAGAGTGTTTCGTTTGACAGAAAGCTCAACCAAGCATGCAGTAGATCCTCCCTCATTTTCTGAATGCATGTTACTTCTGAGGGACGGGCCATTGATGTTTTCTATGCAGGCGCTACCTGAGGGAAAGGCGCCTGAGGCATGGATACACATAACCCCTGGCCTTTCTGTGATAAGGTCTTTTCGAGGCCCCGATTCGTCGATAGGCATGACGTGAAAGCGTTTGCCAAGGGCGCATAAGGATACCGCGGAGCGGATGCGAGCAGGGACCATATCCAGTAATACCTTCGCACACACAAGAAGCAGCTCAGTTTGCGTTGCATTGCTTTTGAAGAACTCGCGTACTTACGGATGGTACGTGCGCCTGCTGTAAAGCAGAGTTGCGACAGGGTCAAGCAGCCGCATCTACGAAAGGGGGAAGGTCAGCAAGCGCGGAATTTCTACCAACGCACTGCATCCTCCTGCATCTCTAGAGACCGCCACTTGGTAGCAAAGACATCCCACGACAACCGTAGCGGCGTGCAGAACACAGCTGATGGCAGAGGAAGCTTCAATCTCAAGGACTGCACTTGCGAATCGGATGTCCTGAGGGTTCATCATCACGAAAGCGTATGCAAGCATTGCGTGTAATTGGACTGGGACACACACATTGCAATGTGAAGAAGCAATGCCTTGCGAGGGAACGGGCTATTATCTTGATCAGCAGCGCCTGTTCACACTGATGCTGGTCTTCCTAAAATATGTTTGAATGCACGCACAAGGCCAGCTGTAAAAACGAGCACAGCTAGAGCCATGTGTATAAGGATGTAAACGGATACGGGGCAGGACGTACAGAACACTAATGAGAAGTATGGGAGTGTCTCGCGAAGGGCGGAAAACCTCGAGCTCCCCAGATACCTGGAAACTTTTCTTCTCTTGGCTTGGCCTAAAACTCACCATGGCGCGTCCTTCAAGCACGTAAAAGAGTAACAGCGACAAACCACAACAGTTAACCTTTTTGTGAGCTCGAAGTGTCTTGCTGCCAGCCTCTAACTGCATCAAGCTTCCCGTGATTCCCTCATAAATGTGCTACTACGAACACCATGACGAAAGGAACTACGGCATGCGCAGTAAGAAGAACATGAAAGAGACGTGAAATTTCTAGAGAAGAAACTATGAAGCATTCATACAGGACGAGGCACAAGGACGCAAACGCACTTGGGTGCCGGAACTGACCTCCCTCAATGACTTCCTTCTCAAGGGCCACATTAATTGAAGGCAGAGAAGTGACATTCAACGTGATGGAGGCAACAAAAGACGCAGCAGCCGCAACTTCTCCAGAAAGCCAAGTTGGCAAGCACTCATGCATTCGTCCTTTGCTCCCCAGCCGAACGGTGCAAAACCAACTAACCTAAAAAACAGCATTTTGGTGAGCAGCACCAATGTTGAACTCAAGAAAAAACGGGTACATGATTTCAACGAAGTTTACGCATTCACATGTAGCGGAGCTCGCGTCAACTTTCAACGGAAAAGTGCCAGTGAATTGCTTTGTTTTAAACTTGCCATCGCAGCCCATCAAAAACACCGTATAGAGAGCCACACCAAAAAGTGTTGTAAGCTGTTCTGAACTTTACTCACATTTACGAGTGGACTTTTGAGAAGGATGCCTCCCCACGGCTGTTCAGAGGGATCGGCTGGTTCAAGCATGATACGTGAATAGCCTTCTTGCATCGCTAGCAATAAAGCGGCCTGCCAGCTATCTTCACACGGCTGAATCGGGGGGACCACCCGGCGCAGGATTCGCACATCGTTCCACCCTGAGAACAGCCACGGCGCAGATAGGCACTGACCAGTATTGACAAGAGCGACGGTGGCCAAACATGTTGACGCAAAACACTTTCGAGCATCGAACGGCGCTCCATACTTAGCGGCGTTATGCTGAGGGAAGAAACGGGGTCTAGAGTCGCCTTTGAGCTGTATTGCATCCTTTTGTCCACCCAGTCTGTGTTTGTAGGCGAATACTGCCGCTGACCCCCAAGGTCCACGCTACTGCCTCTCTGGGTCTCTCTATGCCGCTGCTGGTCAATGCCAGGCTGCCTGCTGCTCTTTGAGGTTGCTTCCGGAAGCCCGGAAAAAACTGGTGGAGCCTCCTTCAAGCAAATAGAACACCAGAATTGGACTTGACTGGAGGTTAGGCTCTGGAATCAGCCATCCTCTAGCGAAGGGAGTGGGAAGCTTTCGAAAAAGCCGACCGGCGCACAATGTAGTGGTACGTTGCTCCTAGCTAAACAAAGACAACGTTTGCCAATGAAACAGTACGAAATCATTTCCACACATAATTCAACTCGTAACTGCAAGCTAGTCCGTCTGTGCCCAATGCACGTCATACGAGTGAGTAGATACACGCGTGGAAGCGCCTACACGTGTAGTTGTTCAATCTGTACCTGCAGGCGTCTAGAGGTAGCTGGGTACGTGCGCACTGCTACTTTGTGCCGGTTCTATTAATGCCATGGTGCAGAATAGGAATACGCGTGTGTGGGTATGTTTCCATTTTGCGAGCGTAGGCTACATAGGTACGCTTACGTCTATGTGCGTATTGTACATGCATGCGCATTCCAATAGGTGTAGGCCTAACCACAACCCTACATATGCCTGTTTAACTGGGAGAAAAGAGTTGTGTAGGGCCAACATGATTTGAAGTATGGGCTCGTGACTGACTTTGGTGTCCGGTGTACAGCACAGCTGGACTTCAACAACTACACAGCGAAAACTTGCCTCGTACAGTCACGAAACGCAGACACAAGTCACGCTGCGTCCTCCGCGAGGCAAATATACAGACGCTTAAAGTGCAATGTAAAGTGAAAAGAGACAACTCAGTCGTTTTAGGTCGCTGAACTGCAACACTCACCAAGCCCCACGTCAAGCTCAGCAGTTGCCGTCGGCCCTCCTCTGCCATCTCCCTGCAAAAATGCCCAATCCAGCAGGAAAATAATGATACAAAAAGAACTGAGATGCAGTCAAGATAAACGCAGAGAGAGACGGCAAGGTTGCTGTATGGGCATGAGCACAGAAATCGGTGCACGAAAAGCGCCGCAATTCGAATGGTCAAGAAGGGTCAGTAGGAAACCTCACTGCGATGCTTGAAGCTCTGCCTTCAAAGATGATTCTGTCTCGCATGCAGCTGAGCACAGAGAAAAAACGGCAGGCCACTGCAAAGGCTGCCAGCGGATTGCTACGGTCTGGGGCTCTATGCACACCTGTAAATCCGACACAGGTATAAAGAGCAACGGCATATGAACAACAGTAGCTACTTGCTCCGCAGAGGAAGCTCAATCAATCACCAATAGCATTACGTCTCACCCTCTAATTTGCCCACTAATCCCTCATTGCGCTGCCGTTCATTCCGTATGCGGCTCCTTGCGTTCGTAAGAAGCGTTGTAAGCTCTGCGATTGTCCGCTCCTGCTCCTTGGCTTTCCTGTCTACGCTCCTTTGCTCGTCCCGTAGCGCTTGCAATTCCCGATTATGCTCTTCAGCCTCGATGCGGTAATTTCGGATTTCCCTTCGATGGGCCTTCTTCTCTTCTTCGGCAACTTTTACCAGGCCTTCTAAATGCAGCACTTGCTGCTGCAGCTGAGCCACCTCAGCTGCGGCAGCACGCGACGCGGCCTCTCGCTGCTGCTGCATGTGCTGCAACGACTGCTGCTGCTGCATCTCGGTGGAGCTGAAGCACAGCAGAACATTCTGGCCCCCCATAAAATTGTGTTTCATTCCTAAGAGACAGCAAATTCCCTATTCCTGAAGTCACAGAGGCTGCCTTCTGCAGGTGTCTGCTTCTATTTGAGTATGCTCCTGCGACCTGGCTTTTCAACAAGCTCAGGCTACATATCCGAGCGTATGATCGCTAAAGACTCTTCTGCGGTACTTTGGGCTCTCACGCGATTCGCTGAGACGCCTCGTTGAGCTGTGCAGTCAGTTTTTGTCTGCACCACATCGGAACACCAAGAAAACGAGAGAAATGGGACGCTCCAAAAGCCTTTCTGGAACCTGCCTAGAAGAATGAGACAGCACTACGAAAATACGAGAAGATGGTACTTACACGTGAGCTTGAAGAGCCTGGATGTGCTGCTGCTGCTGCATCATAGCCTGCTGCTGCTGCTGTATCTGCATCTGGAAGAAGTTGTTTTGTTGTTGCAGTGCAGCGTTCTCATTGTTTGTCAACTTGAGAAGAGCAGTAAGATCAGCCTCGTGCTACAAACAATACAACAGAAATGTAACTCTAGCCCGCACCACCTCATGGCTAAGTGCGTGCCAACACGAAAAGAGGCGCCAAGGCTTCGGGCTGCTTACAGTTTTTGCCTTTTCTTCTGCGCAATACTGTCGCTGAGAAGTCAGCTGTCCCTTAATTGTCCTCGCGACATCGCTTCGCTTCTGCACTTTTCCATGTGATACATTTGGTACCGATTTGTCTGAAGAGCCTGCTGGCACGACTGTTTGGGGAGCACCTGCTGGTTTACCTAGCTCTGCTGAGACTGAAAAGCAGAGATACCCGCATGCAACGTTGTGATCTGCAGCAGAGCCTTCTTTGGAGAACACAGGGGCCTGGTAAGTAGTCGCACTTCCACCTGAGAACAGATGAAACAAATCACAAATGAAATGATACGACGCAGACCCTCTTCGTGGCACCATGGAAAGTATACGGCGCAGCCTGCTAAACAGACAAGGGCAACCAACCCCGTTACTGATCAAAACACCAGAAACGCCATGTGAAAACAGAAAAACTGTGCTTGACAGCGGCATGCTCAGAAGCTTAGACAGAAGCACCAAGTACAGCAGGTAGAGCTTTTGCAGAAATTTGGACAAGATCATACACATCCAGGAATGGGCGGAGGGGAGGCTGTATCCGCCACAGCGCTCATCAACAGCTGCATTTTGTTAAGCGTCTAACATGTTAAAGAATTTAGAGGAAGCTGGGCCGTGAAGGCAGGCCATCTGTTGTCCGCTCTCCTAATAAGAAAGCGCAGCATTCCCTCTTGCTGCAGGCATTCCAGTGGGTTTGCGAAACTGCTACTTCCTTCTCTTCTCTCGTTGTCCTCGGTTGGCCGCATGCGAACTGCAAAGGTGATAGGTTGCTGCCATGTTACTTGCAGCTCTCTGGTATTTTTGGTGGTGCTGTTGCTACCGCTGCTGCTGTCGCTGCTGCTGGTTACCACGCCCAACTCAGATGTGTTCTGAGCTTCGGCTTCCACACTCTGCAGTGTAAACCACAGAGACGAATCTAAACGTTTGGATTCTTTCCGGATTTTTTCTCAAAATAGGACACTGGCTGTCCACGGGCACATGTAGTTTACAGTACATTTGTTGCAAATGCTGCTGTGCAGAGAATAAGCCAGCTGCATGAACTCACCGCATCATCACGCAGAGCGTGCTGCACTTACGAGCTGCTAAACCCAAAACTGATATATTTTCACTTGCTGTTTCTTGAATTTGTTGGCACAAGGCCTGCCTACATCAGTCTTATACACGCAAACTCAAGATTGTCTAACTTACTTGGGAAGGTACATATATAGCCGAGTCTATGTAAAAAGGACGCGCAGTAGACCTCGTCATGAAGACAGCACGGAGAGAAGAGATGCAGATGCAGCAACAACCATCTGCTTGTGTTTCACTCGATCCCATTGGCAGGGCTGCTGTGGCTGAGTCCCCATTGCTTAAATGGCGTGAATGGAAACGGCCTCTGTTTCTTGGCCGCCTGCGGCGTGTACTGGCAATTTCGGCGCCCTCGCCGTCACTGCTGTCCCCCCTGCTGCGCGTGCTGCTGCTACCGCTTGAGCCGCTGCTGCGACTACTGCTGCTGCTACTGCTGCGTTTTGCTTGCCTCCTGCTGGTTCTCGTTTTGCCATGCCTGGAGCTTGCTGACTTCTCAGCAAGAGTTGCAGCAGGCGGCGCAGATAGGCCCGCTGGAAGCACAGCCGAGGAATCCTTGGCTCCACTGCTTCCCCACTGCAGTATTTCATGCTCCAAAGGGGTGAAAGAAGGCACAGCTGCATTGCCTTCGAAGGAGAAATCTATGGTTGGCCAATCAACTAACAGGGAGTCCACTTGCTGTTCCGCTGCAGCAGCGGCACGATGGTCTTCTGCTTCTCCCTTGGCTTTGTCTTTCTTTCGAGTTCTGCCGCTGCTGGTTCGGCCACGATGTTGTTTCTTGCTGTTTTCGCCTTCGCGTCGGCTGCCACGTCCAGGACGCGTAGAGCGTGAAGAGGCCTGGGGCTGCTGCTGCTGCTTCTGTTTCTTTTCCAGAAGCTGCTGCTGCTTTGCCAAGTCTTCATCAGCTGCAGAGATAGAATAGAAGAACGTCAAAGCCTCATCTAAATCCTTGCATGCCTGAATCAGCAACAACGCGAGAAACGCTGGCAGTTTTGGCAGCCCGAACGATTGCGGCACTAGCTTGTGAATCTCTTTAAGCTTTCTTTAGAAGCGGGCTGAGAAGTGGGAGACTGCCTCTACAGTTGGCCCTTCTGGTCGCACATTTCTACCTTACCTGTTGCATGCGATGGTCGGAGGAGCCGCTGGTCTTGAGGGCCTCCTCTCCAATCGCCAGTAGTCTGCGGGATCAGTGAGGGGGTCTCAACTGGTATACAATCTAGTGCTCAAAGGTGTAAGGAGAGCTCACAAAGATCCAATAAAACAAGGTTCGGGTCAGCCACCAGCCGAAAGCAGCGGAGGACAGCATGACCGAATAGAATTGGAGGGAAAATAAGCTTGGTGAGGAAGCACAAAACCGGCAGTGTTGCCTCATGATGAAATTGTGAGGCAACGATGAGAGTTCAGAGGAGCACACAATCGTACAAGGTAACGGGAAATGGTGACAGTACAAAGTGATTGCAGAGGTGTAGCAGCTAAGGGGAGAGACAGCACGCCAACTACCAAGTGCAGAGCACCATCCTTGAAGCCACAGTAGCCCTGTGTTGAGTAAAACTTGCAAAAGGTCACCAGAGCGAAGCAGCACTGCCCCAGGGTATTGAGATACGTACTTCTTGCATTCATTTGCCAAGTCCTGTACTTGAGAAGACTGTGGTGCTGAACACCAACCACAATGAACACCTGGAAGAGAGAATGGCGTCAACTACCCAGCGCACCAACTACCTAGCGCCGCTGAGACTAGGAGGAGCTAGCCACGCATTTTGCAAAGCCTCTCAAGACAATTCGAGCTTACAGTGCTGCTGCAGTAACTCGCGGAGCTGCAGGGCGCTGACGAGGGCCAAGTCAACATCCATCGTGGCCCACCGTCGCAGCCGGTCCCTCCCACTTCGCTTGGCCCGTTCCCCGAATCGTCTGGCTCCACTTCTTCATTACTCGGAGCTTTTTGTGCTTTCTAGCTCCAAAAGGTGCTGCTGTCGGCCGAAATATTAGGTAAGCTGCAAGCGCTGGGCAGACTCACGCAGAAGACCCAGAGACCCGCAACCCGGTGGCACTGGTAGGGACAGGCAATACGCTACACGTAGAACGTGTATATATGCACTCCAATGGTAAAGTAGCACGTAAAAATGAAGGGGAAAAACGAGATGAGCACCAGGAAGCTTCAGTAGGCCCTCCCGCGATAGAGAAGCGGGGCCCTTTGTCGTAGCTTATGACGAATGCGGCTTTGAAGCCTTGTTCGCAACTGCGTTTTCCTCCTTAATTTAAACATGGTAATACGAATAAGAGGGCATTCAAGTCAAATCTGACAGTGGACAGCCCCGCTGCGAAGTGCTCAGGGCACGGGCGACTTAGCGTTCGGCAGCGGGGTGTCTTTGCACCGGTCCCGAAAACACCTCACAGAAGCCTTCATTTGACTCGAGTCCCCGAGAAAAGCTATTTTACAAACTGTCAACTGTAGAATCCTTAAGAAGGGAGTCTGGTTGTGGCTCGGTACGAGTCACGTTTGGAGGGATCTTCTTAAGGCTCCAGACAGTGCCTGCCATACAATTAGCCGGCTTGCGAGAATGGTTGCCCCATTGAATCGCCCAAACTTGAGCTGCTCCTGTAAGCGTGTGATTTTAAAAATCAGACGAGAAATTGTTGCCTTGGCTTATTTCGGTAGCTTCGAGTTGATTTCATGTGGTGAAAACATGACTTGAAGTAACTCCAATGCAGAGTGTAAGTATTTGATCTACGCGAGCGTTCGCTTCTAAGGCACAGAGTAAATGAGGAACTAGTGCTGCAGAGCCATACGCTAAACTGCTGCCAGGCGACACGCAGTGTAGTTGGAGTCCGAATATGACTTGGACTGCACACGGGACTGAATATATTTGTAACACACTTCTTCCATTTGAGAGCTTCCTATTGTTCCTTCTAGTGATTTGACGCCATATACCAGAATGGTTGATACATAAGGATTCGACATGTGGGCTCATGTACTCGTGGCACATTATCGGTGGGTAGTCTCACAAATGAGTGATTGCGCTACTGGTGGGGTTCATCTTGTTCAGTAGCTGCACCAAACCTCCGACTGATATCTGTGATGAGCAGGGTCCAAAATGTACACTGGAAAGGGTTACTACAGTGCAGATCTTATGGAGGCACTGCATAGACAAAGATACTTGAGCTCTTTAAAAATGAACTTTAGGTTGCATTGCCTTGCCCGGTCCACGTTGTTGCTGAGTTGGTGGTACCACAACCCTTTTACAACTCCCACGATGTTGCCAGCTCTCGTCATTATGACTCCCTCAGAG